ACAATAATAATGCATTAAGGATTGATGATTTAGGATTTATACAATTGAATTTGAATATGGAAGGATACAAATAAGAGCCTTTTATTTTGGCTTCTCAAGCTACGCAAGTTCTCTATGTCCCAGACTCGGCAACTAAAGGATGGTCTATTGTTTTGTTGACCAATAAAATGAATGTGGAGACAGGGTATGAAGATAATGTAGTTGAAGATGATCCATTTTGAGGGACATCACTTGAATCTCTTTTAAATGATGATGAATCCATGTACGTCAGGTACGATCATAATAATAGAATATGGATTTCAAAGAGGGGGAAAGTGTTTCGCAAGAAGATCAAAACAATTCAAACCAAAAAGAATATACAAAAATCTAAGAGTAGAAAAAGAAAAAGATCTACTTAAACATGCATATAAATCCTCTTATTATTTTCTTTAACTAACTTTTATTTGTTATAATTTTGTTTAAGTCAATTTTGTTATTAATGACTTTATTTTCATTTAATGGGTTCATATTCATTTTGTTTGATTGAATTTCATTGCAGATGGTAGACGATAGTGGATCTAACACCGATCATCCATCTTAGTCGAGAGATGCCTCTGACCAGGAGAGACAGTTGCAGGACGAGGTAGCACGCATATAGAGGGGTCTTTGTGTCATGCAAGAGGTCGTGAAAGCTCAAACAGAAGGAAAGAAATTTGTCGTATAGTGGAATAAGAAAGGACAAGTTGTACGGTCAAATAAATTTATCAGCTATATTGGAACAGTGGCACAAAGCACCATGCCCATTATAGTGCAGCACTGGAGGATGGTTGATCGTTCAGTGTGAGACGCTATTTGGACAGATGTATTAGTGATATATTATAACAACTCAAATTATATTTTCTTACAAGCTGTCTCACACTAATGTGTTGTTTTATGTGTTTTGCTCTTTGCATTTAATATAGATGAGAGCAGGAAGAAGTTTGTGGAGGGGAAGGCTGGGAGTGCACTACGCTCTTTTTGAAATGTGGTGACATACAAGTACTTGAAGGATCCTTCCACAGCAGACGAGTTTGAGGTTTCTAGCTTGATACGGGACTTGGTCAAACCAAAGGATTAGGCTAATTCTGTGATGTCACATTGTGATAGTCAATTTCAAGTAACAATCCTCATGTAATTCTAAATTAGATAGTCCATTTTGTTTAATCTATATATTGTTTAATTGTGAATCTACTTTGATTTTGCAGGAATTAAGTGCCAAAATAAGAAAAGGGAAAAGAAGAAGGAATATCCCCACCGAAAGGGGCGCTTGGTTTATGTGGGCCTCAAGGAAGAGGTGACTTAGAAGGAGGGATCATATGTCACTGTATCCAGTCAGATGTTGTGGACATTGGCCAGGCAAAATAAAGATGGCCAAATTGATAATCCTTGCGTCAAGGAGGTCATAGACAGGATGGTGAGTATTATTCTAAATTAAATAATCCTCACGTTCTTGTCAAATATCTTAAAGTAAGAATACTGATAATGTTTGTTGCACGGGAGAGTTTGAACTAGGAAGTTTTGCAGGGGGCATATTCTACAGATGACCAGGATATATTAAAGAGGGCATTGGGGACTCTTGATCATCTTGGTCTTCTTAGAGGCGTCGATTATGGAGTCACCAATATGGATTACTTTGGATACTGACAAAAGCCCTCTTCATCGTGCACGCCTTCATCTGTTGAGTTCATAGAGCTAAATGAAGAAACACGCTGGTTAAAGGAGCAAGTTAAAGCGCAAGCGCTCCTAATCGAGCAGTTGATCAAGGATCAAGCACCACAGCTGGCTCCAAATCTCAGTCTAAGTGGCAAAGAAAACTGCACATTCCCCTTGCTACCGGAGGTATAATACTTTTTGTGTTTATACGATTACATTCAATTATTTTCGTATCACACTAACTTGTCTCCTATGTTAAATCAGGGTGAAGCGGACGTTCAGTGCATGGCAGATAGCCCTAAATATCACACTGTTGCAATAGGCCGCATGTTTAATTTACCGAGAGAGAACATGATTCATAATGTGCCTCTCCCTATTAGTCATGTGAGGGTGTAGTTGAACACTGCTATTGATCCTAATTATGCCTTCCTGATGCCTACCCTAGATGCAAAGACAGTAGCTCGAGTAGTGGGTAGCTTTGTTGCTTGGCCTGGCCGTCCTCTTACATTAGGACATCCTTCAAAGGTATATATGTATAGGTTGAAACATTCAGTTGATTTTAAATAAACTGCTTTAATTATTAACAGTCTGTTTGTCAGTCTAAGGGGAAGAAGAGCCTACTGGGCAATCACTCATTATCATCGTCACAGAAGCAGCCCTCTGAGCCCATTGAAGTGGTATCATCAAGATTCTGAATATATCTCGAGGAATATGCAGTTGGGGCTAGATTAGAACATGGCGAGAATTTTATGATTCCCCTAGAGTTTGAGCTAGAGGTCTACGGTCAACCTTTGTCAGAGTACGCCACAAATGACGTATTGAAAGAAATTCTGACGCATGGAATGGCTTGCACAAATGCCTGTAATTTTTATATCAGGTATTTGTTAAAACCTTAACTAAATACTTAAGTACTTGAGCATTTATTCTATTGATATCTTTGTTTGTTGATTTAGGTATCTTTTTAAGGACTTTATAGTCCCCAATGGCCTTGATGACAAGTTCAAGATTATCAGCCCACATACTTTTGCTGGGTATGGACCTGATATGAAGAAGAAATACTTATCCAGAGACTTGCTAGATATCCTCATTTCTAGGGCAACGAAGGCTGAGACTTTGTTTTTGGTGCCTTACTGTCAAGGGTACATAGTATACTGAACTTTCTTAAATTCTTTTATTTTCAAATATTTTGTAATCATTCTAATTGTCTTTCTTATACTTAGGGGACACTGGATGTTGATTGTGGTCAATCCCACAAAGTCGAGGATTTGGTATTTTGATTCTTTTCATGGAGATCTAACCAATCAACCATTTATGGTTTCATTTTTCAATAAGTAATATTTATATCTATTATTTAAATTTAATTTAATTTCTTGCTTCAATCTAATTTTTGACAATCATTAATATTTAATTTTATTGTCTTCTCAGGGCTTTGTGGCTATATCACACAAATCAAGCCTTACCCTGTCCCTCGGTAAAAAACGGCCAATTTGACAATACCTTCCCGTGGAAGAAAGTGAAGGTATTCATTACCATTGTTTACTATTCTACTAAATATGATTTATTTATATGATTAACTAATATTATTTCCTTTTCCATTCTTTATAGTGCCCACGTCAGCCCAAAAAAAGCTCTAATTATGGGTATTGCGTGATGAAATTTATGAAGGAGATAATTACGCACAATGCTGACCCGATCCCTACACAAGTAATATGCATTTGTTTAAGTTCAATTTATGTATTTAAGAATCGTACTTACTGCAGCTTTACGTTTATATCTAGCTTCAATATAATTTGTGGTTGCATGCAATACTTTGCCAACACATATTGCGCAGTGTATTCATCCGCTCAGATGGAAGAAATCATTAAAGAGTTGGTAATGGCCTTATTCCATCAATGGGCACAAAATAGATAGGAAAGTAGAAGACATGTACAGCTTTGGTTTCAATTTTGGTTTTGGTTCATTTTTTTGCTGTTGGTCAGTTTTTGGCATTGAACAACTTTAGCAATTGGCCAGTTTTGGTTTTGGTTCACCTTTTGTACTTGTCCAGAATTTTTACTTGCCTTAAACACAAGTTCTTTTAATATGACAGTTGGTTTCCTATTAATTAAGATGTATATAATGTAAATTTCTGCTTCATATGTATTCATATGGCTAAATTATTGGTTTAAATGCTGGCCTTGTTCTGTTGAATATGCTGCTTCGTATGAGGTTTATAATTGCAAGGGGACTGTTGGCAAAGCAGAACTCGTATTAAAAAAAAATTCATAATACTTGACGGTTATTACGTAAAACTATCAAGTATTGTAACAATACTTGACGGTTTTAGTAGTAACTGTCAAGTATTATGCTAATACTTGATAGTTTTAATGGTAACCGTCAAGTATTGTTTACAACTATTGGACAATACTTGACGGTTTTAAGAATTGTCAAGTATTGTTCCATAATACTTGACGATTTCTAAGTAAAACCGTCAAGTATTGTTCTTCAATACTTGACGGGTTTTTTTTTAAAAAACCGTTAAGTGTTAAAGTAATACTTAATGGTTCTTCATTTAAAACCGTCAAATATTATCAAAATATTTGACGGTTAATAACCGTTAAATATTTGCTGTCGAAATATATGATGCCGGTATATTTGACCCAAAATAATCGTTAAGTGTTTCTCATTCTGTAGTAGTAGTAGCAAAGGCTGCTATTGTTTGATGCAGTCATGCAGTAAACAGGTCGATCCCATTAACGATGATGGAGTTTATGTTCTACGATGGTGGAGGGTATATGCGGAAGGACCAATGGATTTAATGATAGAACGTTAAAGTATCTTTAAAAAAAAAAAATCAGGACCTTATTCAAAACTGAGTAAAACCATAAGGATTTTCAAGTTAATTTTTCCTTAAAACAAACACGTTGTCCTTTTATCCTTTTTATTCTTCAATTTTTTAGTTTCCTTAAACAAAACAAACTAGTAATAATGAAACTTGAAAAAGAAAGAGTTTGGGTGAGACACGGGGGCCAAGGTATAAAATTATAGTAAACATGTATTATTACGCAACACACAGCGTAACACAGTTCCACATCAAAAGCCAGATAGATTCTGCGACCTGAGGGCCTATTTATTATTTATAAATTACAAATAAGCGGAGAGAGAGGTAGCAATTATTAATATCGAGACGAGACACATATGACAATCAAACATTACATAACACACAACAACGTAACACACCAGCAAAAGCCAGATACGTATCTGTTACTCCCTCACACTGAAAAGAGAGTGGGCTTCAAAGGATAGAAGGTGGAGCATGAGTCGACGGTGGCAGAGAGCGAATAGGGCCATTAGTCTTCAGCCAGCCACTGGTTCACCGGGAACGATATGTCCTTAGATACGTCGCCACTGACTGTGACTTCCACGTAATCCAAGTACCACCCTGGCTTGTACCCTGCGCCGTTGGAGCTGACGGTGACGGCGCAAACATAGAGGCAATTGCTAGTGCCCTTGAAGACGTCAAGGTTGCTCTTCTCGAAGTAGTCGTGACAGGATTCCATTGAGCCCCAATCTTCGAGGTTGGCGATGGTAAAACTATCGCCGGAAAGGGAACTTAACTTGAGGCTAATGGTGGAGTCCATTCCTGCATTATTGACATTTCCTGTCGTAACTCTCACAACGTACTGGCACTTCTTCTGGATGCATGCATATGAACACACACGCACACACACAAAACCAAGTAGAAGGAAAAGCTTACAATAATTATAATGGATCTACATAAGAGAAAGAAGCGATTACTTACAGTTGTGCCCATTGCAGTAGCGAAGCTTATGAGTGAGACTAGAAATACAACGCAAGACAGTGCAATAACTCTGAGAGCCATTTGTTTAATGTGTGACGCTAGTTTTTACTGACCGATGATGCGGAAACATGCTGAAACATCCCATAGGCATGCCTTTATATAGGGCCGCCCGTATGATCCCAGAGGAACTGGGCCCACTTGGAGGTCCCTGGAAGAGGGCCCATGTCAAGTACGCGTCTGGAAAAGCAGGAAGGAGCCCGAGGGCGAGGAAGAAAGCGTGCAAGGTGTGCGAATAGGAGGAAAATGCCACCATATAACATAAGAAGCACCGAGCAATTTAAATCAGCATCAATTTTTTTATGTATGCCTCCGCAAAAATACATTAGTGAAAATCATTCCTACGCAAGCGGACCACGTTCTATGTAATAATTTTATCATTATATGCAGATACATGATGGCATATATATGACTTAAAGAATAATTAGGTTTCAATGAAATATCTGAGATTATACATTAGGGATTTGAATATATTCATTCATCAGAATTAGGATTTATTTGATTATTAAAGAATAATTGGGATTTAATGAAATATCTAGGATTATACATTAGGGATTTGAATATATTCATTCATTAGAATTAGGATTTATTTAATTATTCATTTTTTAATATTTGTATTATCTCAATAAAATAGGATATCTTAGAATTATCTTTGTTATTTTTATCTATAAGAATTAGTGTTTGATTTAGATTTGAATTTGAATTTGAATTATTATTTATTATCTCCTAATATCTATAAATAAAGCTTGTGTTTATAGTTGCAATTAGCATGTGATTTGATTGAATAAAGAATTCCTGCATCCCTCTCTCTCTTCCGTCCCTTCCCATTTCACATTAATTAGTAGAACTGGAAAAATAAGTCGAACATGTTAGGTTGGCCCGTTTAGGCCCAAAAATTATAGGGGCAGGGTTTAAAATTTTTTCTTTCAAAGAAAAAATAGGCTTAAAAAGGCTGGTTCTGTAGGGCTCAGAGTTTAAATGGATTGGTCTGTTTAGGCCCTTTTATTTTTAAATTTTTTTTATATAATGCTAATATTATTAATTCTTTTACATTGTTAATAATATTTCAAATATTTAGTTATTATTATCATAATTTAATTTATTTGCTTTTAAACAATAATTTGTTCAATTAAATTTTAAAAAAATAAGGTAATTTGGACTTTAATAATGATTTGATTTATATTATACGTGTCGATATTTTAAAATGATATATATTTGATAAGAGAATATTTTGATACTTATATAAGTTGTGATTCTATAAATTGAATTAAAAATTTAGGAGTTTCAACAATACTATATCTTAAACTAAAGTAAAATAATAGCTAAACTACAAAATTTAAAAATAAAATTTTTATGAAGAAAAACTTGATATTTTTGTCACTAGAAAAGAGCATACTCATAAAGGAGAGCAGTTGATTATAGTGTTTGTCTATTATACATTTGCACTATTAATAAAACTTTTAAATATTGTTGTCTTGTTGATGGATATTTTAGACACTCTTAGATGTTGATGGATGTTTAGATATGATGACATTTTGTGTTTGTGATTTAATTTTATTCGTATTTATGCTTTTTATTAATAATTTTATTTTTGTTTTTTAATAAAATATTTGAAATATATAAAAAATTGTATTTTTCTAAACAGACCAAAAGCCTGCAGGCCAAGCTTGAACCCATCACCGTAAAAACCAATCCTAATAAAATGGGATGTTTCTCAAATTCTAATCCTGTAGGATTAGCCCGTATTCCCAATACTAAGACAATTAGTACTAAGCCTAGTTCCCCCTTCCCTTTATTTGCCGAGGGTGTCTGCAGGTGGAGTCACAAAAATAAGGTACCCGTTCTCGACGTGTGTATCATTGACAAAGGGAAGAAATCTCCCAATGGTATAAAGATGATGAGCGTTGGCATGAGTATGTTGTTTACCAACAGTACAGATATAGGCCGGTTTAATCATATTCCATCATTTTACGACTTTCTTTAAGAGATAAAAATAATATAATAAAATTTCTTATTCAATACATAAATATGATCAAATTTATTATTATTTGGATTTGTTGATCCGTGAGATGTTACACCTTTCCTTCTGATAATAATGCTCTTTCTACTCATGTTCTTCATCTTCCCTTTTTTTTAATTCTTTTTTATATTATCAGACTTTTCTCGCAATATTTCACTGGAAGATACTTGCAAGAACTTGATTGGAGGCGAATGAGCTTTTTTATTGTAATTTTTTTTAAAGTTAAATGAAGATATTATTTTTTTTCCCATTATTTACACGTATGACTAATTATTATGAACACTCTTAACTCAGTTATAAGAATAAGCTCTTATTAGGCAAACCAAAATTTGAAGTTCGAACCCATGTATTTCTATTAACAATCCAAATTGAACCCTATTTTTTTTAATTTTCCAACCAATAACACTTGCATTAATAGAAAGAAAGATTGCATTTGGAAAACCATATAACAAATTAAAGTCAAACAAATTTTAAAAAATGACAAAAACATCAAATGACCACAAACATAAAAGTTTTTAAAAAGGCTCTAGGCTTATCAGGTTTTTGAATGCTCAGGCATAAGCCTAAAAAATATTTGCATGCGGGCTTAGACCTGGCCTAAGACTTTAGACTCTTGTGACGGACTTAGGCCTATTTGGTAAAGCCTGGCCCAATTTCATCCCCGTATGTTACACAAAATCATAATAATATTAATGATTAACGTGAAAACAGAACAACTGAATAGTCAGGTTCACATAGCCAATACCACTCATGTACATTGAGAAACGTCGAAGTATGGTTATCTCATCGATTCCGAAAGTACTTCAAGATGTTCTTGAAGTGAAGTCACCTTTTGCTGTTATTATAAATGACATTAACACTTTACGTCGGCTCAAAATTCACAAACTGTTTTATTATGTTTGCTAATTTCCTTACTAAATTTATTCATCTAAGTTCAATGAAGGCGAAATGCGTGTTATCTACATGTATTAAACAAAAACAAAATCAAATTTTCATGGTTTTTCAAAACAAAAAAGTTTGAGAAAACTTGGTATAAAAATGAATTAGTGATAGTATACTTAAATAGATGAGCATGTGAGGAAAAATTTTCTTGGAAAACGAAGACATGGGTAAGACCATAAGAGTGTAGGCACACAAATTCAATCTGACCAATTTAAAAAAGAACAAAACAACAGCAATCAGTTCCTCTTACCAATTCAAAGAATCCAAATATTCAATTTCCTTGACTTTATTGGCCACAATTACTGCGGCCCGCCCCACCTTGCACCTACTAGCCCATGGATGTCAACCTACTTAGGCCCTTTTCTTAAATTTGCTCTACACTTAGGTTAGCTGACCTGTTTATAATGTAAATACTAATATTTACTATGAGCTTAACAGAAGGGGTTAATTTCTTACAATATAATAAACTAATGTTCAAATCTCTCCCAGGAAAGGTATCCATATTTAGAGCATGATAATGTCTCAAATAGGATTGCTTCCAATAAGAAGATATTTGTGCCAAACAATTAAAAAAAAATACTGATATTTGGTTCATGTTTATCACTTAATCTTCTTTAAGTGCAAGATGATTTTAGGGCATTTATAGATTTAACTTCCTTGGTTTCATCTCCACTGCTAGTTTCCTAAGGTTATGCAGCATTTTTTAAAAGCTAATTATTATATAATGGATACAAAAAGGGTATTTCTTTTGGTTAAAAAAAAACAAAACAAGGCTTCTTTAAAACCAAGGATTTGCCCATGAAAAGCAGCCAACGTGTTCAAGCTAATCAATAATGATTTTTAATATCCATGAAAAAAATAATGATTTTTAATATGATTAATATATTTTTTAACGAAATATTTATTTATGAATTTCTGAATAATAATAATATTAAAAATCAGAAATTAATTAGGTTTGGAGAAATTTCAGTAGGACATGAAAATAAATGTCTGTAAATTTTATAAGCAGCCGCCCTTCTCTCTATCTATCTCTCTGCACAGGGTAGACATGTACGAGAGTAATTAATAATTATCACAGATGATATGAATCGAAATAGAAGAATGTAAACCCCAGAGTCGAAGGAAATTAGTTCCTAACAACTGATTAACTCAGGAAATTAGATGAATGATGATATGCAGAGAAATCACACACAAGTTCCAGAAGACGCGATAGCGAGGCAGATATTGAGAGTGGACTGGAAATATTAAAATGATACCAACGGCTCCTTCTCAGACACATCTCATTTAAAATGATCGATCTCACATATCTTAATTTGTTCTACATGAATTACTATCTACGTATCAGGAATATTAATTTTTTTTTTTTGCACCGAGGAATATTTAAGTTTATGAAGGTATACAGTAATTAATTAATGGATACGAGAAATTGGGAAAGACACATGCCCCCATGCATGCGTCGCAAACACGTCGAAAGGTGATGGAATGCGATTGTTTGTTTGGTCGGTTGGGAAATTATTGTACTACTTCTAGTCCTTAATATAAGAGTTAGTTAACTGATTTGAGTAGATTAAAAAAATTAATTAAGGTAATTGTTTATAATAAATAGGTGTTGTCTTTCCTGAAATATCTTCATTAATCATGTGTATTAGGTAGAACTATCATTTGATGACACTTTTAACATGTGTAATTATTAAAAAGACTACCTTGAGAAAAAAATAAAGAAATATGAGAAATAAAATGGATTGGGATAGTTATTATATTTAAAACCAAATTGAATATCAAACTAACTCTTATATTAAGTACTGAAAAACAGGGACAAACTAAGCTAAATATCAGTAATTTGCTGCTCGCTCTTCCCAAACACCATCATTTACTATTCTTATTTTACAACTTTTGTAATTTCCTTAAACCAAACAAAACTAATGATGAAAACCGTAAAAGGAGGTGCCTATATACGGGACTCCAAGGCATATCTTTATACAGAAACATGGTTGCGTCGAGTGATTACTGAAATGAGACACATGACAAACACTTTCGATCACAACACGCCAGCAAAAGCCAG